AGAAACAGCATCGCACCGAGGTCCGCCTGAAATCCCATCAAAACTGGCCACACTCATCAAACTGCACTGCCACCAGGACAGTGAACCAACGCTGGGATACAAAAGGGAAAATGAATAAGGAAGTAAGACGGAGGGCCAGAAGGGACACGGGCAAGACAAAGCCATGAAGCAGGAAGCTAGATGGTGCTGTGGAGCAGGACCCAGACCTGAACCTACCACACAAAAACTCAGGCGGGTGAGACGTCCAGGCAACAGCAAGGGGATGTCGGACAAGACGCGTGAGCGAGAACCGCAATGCTGTGCGAGTCTCATTAGGCTTCAACGCTTCAACGGCCACCTGCAGAACATGGAGCACAGCAGCGCAGGAACGGAGGGGAGGGGGCACAGACCAAATGGATCCGCAGCTAGCCAGGATGCCACGAGGACTAGAACGGCGGTCACCCTAGCCACGTGGCGCGTCACCGCTCAGGGAGAGCCCCGGTGGCGGACGATACCTCGCCTTGAGGCGGGGGGGAGCACCGGCCGCTTCAACACGGCAGCACTGCTGTTAAAAGGTGCGCTGAGAGTGGGCATGGCCTCGTTAGGCAACTCCCGCGGGGCGCACGGGGCGGCCGGGAGCCGCGGCAGCGAGCAGACGGCGCCCATCAGCTCCCCAGGTTCGCGCCCAAGCGCCTGTCGGGGCCCTCCAGGCCCGCGGGGAAGGCCGCCCCGCCACTCCATCCGAATGGGGCGCGCAGCGGGCACGATACGAGACGAAAGAAGCTGGGCTTGCACGCTAGCGCGCCCGCGAAGCAGGGAGAAGCGAGAACCCTGGGGGGGAGGAGGGAGACACAAGGTGTGAGCCCAGAACGCCCGCAGCGCTCTTTTCACGAGCTGCCCCGCAGCTGCCCCGCGATGGCCTGGAAAAAAACAGCTGTCTGGCGGCAGAACTGCTAGAGGGCAGAACTACTAGAAGCATAAGAAACACCCTCACAATAAGCACCCTGACAAGCGAATGAACGCACCCAGAGAACAGGAACCGAACGGTACAGGATTGTTTTGCAAGCGCCCCAAACTGTTTCGTAAACGGAATCATGTGAGTCGGAGTCATGCCACGATACGACTAGCCCCTGAAAGCGTACCAGCGACGCACCGTTGGCGGCGAGGGGGTCACGGGGAGGACCAAAGGAGAGTACCGCCCGCGCTGAACGCGGCCCGATGGCGCAGCTGCCTGGCCGGACAAGGGGCCATCGAGGACCACCCTTTAGAGCCACCATGACACCCGAAACCACCGCGCGGCAGGGCGCGCCTGCACACTGAAACCATCACAAAAACGCTAAATTTGGTTTGGGATGGATTTCGGCACGCGCCCCTTTTCGACCTGGAATCGGTGATACATCGCCGATAGATCGGCGATAGGCCTCTGATAGTGAGTCCGCACCTTCCTGTGCAGGTTGGAACTATCGGGCCCGTATCGGCGATCAATGAGCGATTGGGGGTCGATGTATCCCCCCCTATGCCTATCCCCCCACTATCGTTGCCCCTGCCCTGGGACACACAAATAAATACACACAAATAACAAGATGTCCCATACTTTCCTATATTTTCTGGGTTTTTGTCTTCCCCCCACTTCCCATATGTTCCCATACTTTCTGGGGAATTGACGATGACTTGTGTCTGTGTGTGTTTGTTTCCTCCTGACCTATGCCTATCCCCCCCATCGTTGCCCCTGATGGGGGAGGGAGGGACGACGGAGCACGGGCGGGCAGGGACCCCGCGGAGCACCCGGCTGCGAGCAGACGCCGCCAAACTCTCAATTTGCCAAGTTTGAATGCCCCTCCTCCTCCTTCTCCTCCTCCTCCTCCTCCTCCTCCTCCTCCTCCTCCTCCTCCTCCTCCTCCTCCCTCCTCCTCCTCCTCCTCCCTCCTCCTCCTCCTCCTCCTCTCCTCCTCCTCCTCTCCCTCCTTCCTCCTCCTTCCTCCTCCTCCTCCTCCTCCTCCCTCCTCCCCCTCCCCCTCCCCCTTCCCCTCCGACTCCGAAAGCCCTGACCATGGTGACGCCTCGCTTCTATGTCCACCAGCGCTGGCGGACACTCCACCGCTTCACTTCAGCTAGCTCCCGCAAGCCTTCCGCCGCCTCCCGCCGGGGATGAGGAGGCACCTCTCGACCCCTCGAAGACGAGGTCCTTTTCTGGAGCGCCCCATGCACCATCCCCTTTGATAAAAACGACCCGACACCAGACCTGGCGGGCGCGGATCCACACATGTTGCGGCCACAACGCCCTCTCGAGAACGGACACGGGGAACCGACTGAGGGCAATTCGCAAATCGACTTGGCGGGGAAGGGATTTGCTTAGCGTGTCGCTGCGGCGGCCCCAGTGACACGCTATGCCCTGTGAGCTGATGAAGCAGCATGTCGCTCCGCTCCGCGGCACGGGAGGCCTCGCAGGGCCCGGGGCGTTGAAGCCTGGGAATTGGGAAGCGGTTAGCGTGTCGCGCCAGAGCGTGGTGCACCAGAGCTGGCGGCGCGACACGCTAAGCAAAAGTTCCCGACCGCACTCGGACCCCCTGATGCTGCCCCCTGGCTTTCGGGCCACGACTCGGGTCTTCGGCGGCCGTTCGAGACGATCTGGGCACCGCCGAAACCCCCCTCAGAGAGGCGCAGCAACTGGAAAGCGCCCCAGGGCTGCAACGACCGCCGAGAACTGACGAACCCGTCCGAAAACCTCGAACCTCGAATCCGACCCCTTTTGTCCGGCGCTAGGTGAAGCCCAAATCCACCTCCGACGCTTATTACTGGATGCCTATCTCCGCGACACCGCGACTGTGCAGCACGGATCCCTGGAGATCTCGACCCATTCCCTGGAACTGGGTTTTCATCCTGAGTCAGGGTTTGACGGTACCAGGGCCCGGCGAGAGTCCCAGGAGGCCGACGATGACACGAAGCCTCCCGCTGCAATGTTTCCGCGATGCGAGGGGGTCTGGGTTGCTGGGCGCCCATCTCCGCGGCACGGCCACCGTTGACGAAAGAACAGCACACACACAAATACACACACACTGAAAGTGATTGGGAGGAGGAGTAGGGACAGGCCAAGCGATGAAGGCGCCAGAGGCATGTGCGCGGTCTGTCGGACCCCGAGCGAAGCTCCCGCTCTGGCGGGCACCCCCATCTCCGACAGCGCACACCCGTAGCCCCCTACGGAACTCCGCCCCGAGACATATCTGAGCGGCGCACGGGCACGGGCTCTACATCCTTGAAGGGGCCCTGGGACACACAAATAAATACACACAAATTAAAATACTGGGTTTTTGTCTTCCCCCCACTTACCATATTTTCCCATATTTTCTGGGGGATCGACGATTCATTGTGTGTGTGTGTCTGTGTGTGTGTGTTGTGTGTGTTGTGTGTGTTGTGTGTGTTGTGTGTGTTGTGTGTGTTGTGTGTGTTGTGTGTGTGTGTGTGTGTGTGTGTGTGTGTGTGTGTGTGTGTGTGTGTGTGTGTGTGTGTGTGTGTGTGTGTGTGTGTGTGTGTGTGTGTGTGTGTGTGTGTGTGTGTGTGTGTGTGTGTGTGTGTGTGTGTGTGTGTGTGTGTGTGTGTGTGTGTGTGTGTGTGTGTGTGTGTGTGTGTGTGTGTGTGTGTGTGTGTGTGTGTGTGTGTGTGTGTGTGTGTGTGTGTGTGTGTGTGTGTGTGTGTGTGTTTTACCCTCCTGACTCCTCCTGGACATGTAGTGCAACTTTTGCAGGTCGTGTCAGGAAATCCCTGCAGAGACGACCGCTGGATTTTGCGAAGGGGATGGAGTGCCCAGACGCGGGTGCTAAAGTGGGTTGTCTCAGGCCCAACCTAGCTTATAAGCGAGTTACAGGTGCCCAACATGAGTTCGGGGGGGCTGCGATCTGAGCAAAGTGGGCTCCGCCCACTTGGTGGAGTTATCTGACCCCCATAGACCGCTTAGGGCACCTGTGACCCACTTAAAGCTGCGAACTTACGCCAGCCCACCTTCGCATCCCCTTCTGACCCCTATCCCCTTAGCAACCGCCGCGGTCATCTCAGCGGGGGTAGTTTTTATCCCAGGTCCATTTCTGATAGCCCCGGGGCCCAAAAACGGCGCACCGAGAGGCCCAAAACAACCAAAAAAAGGCCACGAAAGACCCATAGCCCCAACACAGAGTTCCACCCCGAGAAATCCGAGCGTCGCACATCTGCATGGGTGCCAAATTGTCAGCCTCACCAGCCGTGCGGCGCCGGCCCGCGCGGCCTCGCGCACGATCTCCGATCTGTCGCCCCCGATGCTGGAAGCGGTCGCGATCGGTCGCGCCCGACTTGGAGTGCCGAACGCTCGCTACCGACCGCAACCAAACAAGTCCGGTGCCCAATCATCTGGGGATGACGAGAAGCCTCCTGACACGATACTCCGAGTTTCGACGTGAGCGTCGGGGGGGGCGTCACCCCCGCCGACAGCCCCACATCGACCCCCGTCGCGGGCGGCCACCGCGCGCCGAAGGCGCTCCGACCACCGTCGCGGCGCGACGACGAGGCGAGGTTGACACCCGTCGGGGGGTACCCCCCCACGCATAGTAAGAAACCCAGAGTAATTTCGCGGCGCGAGGGAATCTGGGTTGCTGGGCGCCGATCGCCATGAAATGGGCGGAGCCCGCGCAGCCTGGAGCGTTAACGCCCCTATTCGACTGAGGGCACCTGGGACCCTCTTCTGAGCCAGGCCAGGCCAGAAATACCCCACCCCAGCCTCCGCTTCTGAGGCCCCCGATCCCGCCAGCAGCCCCGGCGGTCATCTCCGAGGGGGCCTGGGCTCCTGCGCGCCGAGATCTCCGAGGCACCGCGACCGTGCGACGCCGGCCCCCCCGCGGCCTCGCGCACGATCTCGCCGTCGCCGTCGCCGTCGCCGTCGTCGCCGTCGTCGTCGTCGTCGCCGTCGTCGTCGTCGTCGTCGTCGTCGTCGTCGCCGTCGCCATCGTCGTCGTCGTCGTCAGCTCGGGAGCCACGCGGCGCCGGCCCCCGGCGGCCTCGCGCACGATCTCCCGCACGGCGGCGCTCTCCGCCTGCAGGGCCTCCGCGGTCCGCGCGGCCCGGGCCACCTGCGCGGCGTCCGCCGCCCGCCAGGGCTCCTCTCGGGGAGCCGGGCGCTCGGCAGGGCTCGGCAGGGCTCGCGCGCGGCCGTGGTATGCCAGGATGCCGATCATCGGTCGGACGAAGCAGGCAAGAAGCATGAAGCAGGAGGGCGCTGGAAGCAGACTGGCTCTCCGCCCGCCCCCCGAAGAGGAGGGAAGAGGGGAAGCCACTCGATCGCTGAAGTGTGGGAAGGCGCTCAAAGAGCAGATTGGAGCCTGGGATTCCAAAACATACCCACTTTTGTAACGACCGATGGGCAGGCTCGTGTCGTGCCGACGCGGCGACGACCCCGCCGCGAGCGCACAAGGCTGAGCGCCGCCGTTCGCCCAGGAGCCCAGAGCCGGCGGTGATCGAAGGACGTGGGAATTGGAAGGCATCGCCGATCGTCGAAGGCCGGGCGAGCCGCGGGGTGTCGGAAGGTGGCCCTGGGGCCCTGGGGTCGCCAGGACACGAGCCTGCCGCAGCACCCCCGACAGGCCTGCGCTCGGGGAGGAAGCAGAACACCGCGAGGCGCGAGGTGGGCGGCCCGGCCCGGCCTCCGGGGCGCCCTCGCCGGGGCCGCGGGGCCGTGGCAAGACTGCGCGGGAGGAGGACGCGGTCCCGAGTGGTGGGCTCGGACCGCCAGGGCACCACACTGCGAACAGAATCGCGGCGGAGGACGTCGGGATTGGCAGGCACACCCCTGAAAGTCTAACGCCTGGCGCTCTCGGGCCCGTGCCTGCTTCGGTGCGCGTGTCAGCGTTTCGCCCCCGCTGCGGCTCGTCGGGACTCGGCTGAACATTGCTGCGGCATGCCAGCACAGCAAGTGCATGAGTGGCACAAGACTGCGCACCGCACAATGCGATGGTAAACATAAACGCACGCATGCGGCGATCGCTCTACAACACCCCAGTATTGGATGACTGCCGCTTCTTTTTTTGTTCACCGCCTTAATCTGCCTGGGGCATTTGGGAAGGAGGACATCAAGCGCGAAGCGCGCCATGCACATACGATTGATTAAAGAATGACACGGGGACTGTCGCTCGATGCTCTTATATTCTGTGATTCCGCCGACCCCTTGGGGTTCATCGGCGTGTGAGATGTTCCCCCTCCCCAAACCCCTCCCCCGGGAGCCCGGTCCGGTCGATTTGGAGGGGGGGGGGTCCCCTCGGATGCCCCGGACGGGAGCGGAGGTGCCAGCCGCTCTCGAAAATCGTGGAAAACCTCTGGAAAATCGTGCAGGGACTCCTCTCGTGGCCAAAAATGGCTCTTGGGCGCCCAACGAGCGCTCCAAGACGCTCACGGTGGCCCAAAGACGGGCCACGAGGCGTCCTCGACGGCAGAAAAGGTCCCAACGAGCGGCCCCGAGGGCCTCCAAGATGCGTTCCACGAGGGTCCCTAAACGCAAAAATTTGCCCATTCCCGTCGTGAAACGTACATTTTTCACAAATTCGGCTTGGGGCCTATCCGATGCTCCCCGACGGCCCACGAGGCCCCCAAACCCGCTCCCAGACGGCCCCAGAAGCCTCGCAGAGGGTCCCCCACAGACCCCTCGAGGGCCCGACGACGGGCCAACAGGCGTCCAAGACGGCCCAAGAGGGCTCCGAAAACGGCCCGAAGAGCGCTCCAGGAACGCTCCGAATGGCCTCCACGAAGCTCCACATGGTCCCAGACCGTCCAAGAGCGATCCAAAACATCGACGACGGCCTCCCGACGGCTCAAGAGGGATCCAAGATTCGCCCCAAAAGGCCCTCTAGATGCAAAAAAATCGCCCGTTCCCTTCGTAAAACGTATATGTTCCACACGTGCGCCTTTTAGGGTGCCCCCCGCTCCTGGACGGCCCCTGGGCTCCCCAAACTCGCTCTCAGACGGCCACGGGCGCCTCCAAGAGGGTTCCCCACAGAGCCCTCGAGGGCCCCAAGACGGGCCAACAGACGTCCAAGACAGCCCAAAAGGGCTCCGAAAACGGCCCCAAGAGCGCTCCAGGAGCGCTCCGAGTGGCCTCCACAAAGTTCCACATGGTCCCAGACGGTCTAAGAGCGATCAAACACATCGCAGCAAAAGCTGGGGCCCGACTTCGCGCCGAACTCATTCGTGCTGAATTCAGCCTTTTTCCTTCACCTTTCCGACATGTCCCGTATGTTTTCCATCGCCCGTTCCCTCCGTAAAACGTATACCTATACGACCACCGTGCGGGTGATAGATCTGACACTCATCATCACCATAATCAATCATTATCATCATCACCTTCATAGTCATCATCATCGGGACACCATGATCCTCATCAACATCATCATCAACACCATCATCATCGGAATACCACCATCATCATCTCATCATCATCCTCAACATCGTCATCACCATAATCATCATCATCACCATCATCATCATCATCATGGGGACATCATTATCGCCATCATCATCATTGGATAATCATCATCATCATCGTCATCATCATCGGTACACCATCATCATCATCGACATCATCATCATCAACGTCATCATCATCACCATCATCATCGGGACACCATCATCATCATCACCATCATCATCATCAACATGATCATCAAAATCATCGTCATCGGGACACCATCATCATCAACATCATCAACGTCATCATCATCACCACCATCATCACCATCATCACCATCAGCATCTCACAATCGATCTGACTATCGATCTCACAATCGATCTCACTACCGATCTCACAATCGATCTCACATTCGGTGTCACTACGGATATGACAATCGATCTCACAATCGACGTCATCATCATCAACATCAACACCAACAGCATCATCATCATCATCATCATCATTATCATCATCATCGCCATCATCAACATCATTATCATCATCACCAGCATCACCATCATCATCAGCAGCATCATCATAATCATCCACATCATCATCGGGACACCGACGGGACACCGACGGGACACCAGCGGGACTCCGGCGGGACACCGCGCGCCACCGGCCGCCTGGAAGGGAGTCATTTGGTCCAGCCGCGCCTCAGCCACAGGAGACTTTTTCTCGCCCGCCCACGCAGCTTCGCCTCCCCCGCACGCACGGCACGCACGAACGCGAAACCGAAATCGATTTCCCGGTGGGGGGGCTCTCCGTTCCACTTCGATCTCGCCCCCTCACCTCCGATTTTAACGCACGTGCGCCCATTGCGGGGCCCCCCGCCCCTGGGCGGCCCCAGAGCCTCGCAAGACCGCATCAAGACGGCCCAAGCAGCCTCCACGAGGGCTCCGCGACAGCCCAAGAAGGCGCCACGACGGGTCAAGAGGGGCCGAGGACGGCCCCAGAGAGCCCCGAAGACGGCGCGCGCGCGACTCGCGGTCAGATTCCTCGCAACTTGCGTTGCTTCCCGCCGCGCTCGTCACTTGCACCCGCAGGGCGTTTCGGCGGGTCTCTCCGAGGCGCCCGCCCCGCCTTGTAGCACTTGGCGCAAACCGCCAGACTGCCTCGGTGGAAATACTTCTTCTCCTGGTCTGTCGAGAGATGGCCGCCGTCAGTGAACGTAGGATTTGATCCGTTCTTTTTCAGGGGACATGCGGAGCATTCCAACTTCTTCGCCACCTGCCTTTGCTCGTGGCACGCTCGGCACGCCACCGAGCGATGGGCCGAACCCTTCGTGAAGAAGCTCTTCACCTGCTTATATGTCAGATGCGTCCTGTCCGCGAACTCTCGCTCCTTCCCATCTGCTTCTTTCGGGCACGCGGAGCACGTGGGCACTCGCGGCTGATTGCGTCCTTCCTGGCACGCTCGGCACGCGACTGAGCGATGCTCCGAACCCGTCGCGAAGACGTGCATCACTTGCTTATCAGTAAGATGCGTCCTGCCCGTGAGCTCTCTGCCTCTTTCCATCTGTCTCTCGGGCGCTCGGAGCACCCAAACACCCGCGATCCCTTGTGGCGCGCGTCGCAGGCGCGGCATTTTACTGGCCTATGGCCTGCGCCCATAGTATAATAGTTCGTGATTTGCGATGTTGTCAGATGCCCCGCGTCCGCGAATTCCCGCCCTCTTCCGCCTGCTGCTTTCGGGCGCGCCGAACACCTCAGCGGCTGTCGCTGGCGTGCGCTTCGTCGAGCAGTGTTGGTTTCATTAATGCGCCCCTTTTTCCTTCTGCGCTTGGCTCCACTTGTTCCATCCGCCTTTCCTCTTCCCCGCGCACTTATTGCAGAGCTTCTCTCATGCGCCCTTCGTCGCGTACTGATTCGCCGCAATTTCTGCCTCCGTCTTCAGGAATTCACAGCATTCAGCGCAACGGATCTGGAATTTGTCGCGCGCATTCTCCTGCCACCCCTGACTCTTTCCGCGATGTCCTCCGAGCTGTTGGCCCTGCGCACCTGTCGCATTTGCTTGTCCGCACGAACGCTCTGATACTTTCGGACTCGGCCCCCGTCACTCTGGAGACCATCTCGGCCCATTGGTCACAGGTCGTGCACCACTTTTCCCCTGCTCCCTTCAACATCCATGTGCACTCGCAGCAAAAGCTGGGGCCCGACTTCGCGCCGAACTCATTCGTGCTGAATTCAGCCTTTTCCTTCACCTTCCGACATTTCCCGCATGTCTTCCGCGGCATCAACCTCTCCTCGATGTCGGGCCACGGCAACGCCCCCCCCCCCGCAACTTCTGCAGCAACAACCTCGTGCCATCCAATTCTCCTTGAGTGCACGGCTGTCTCGACTCGAAAATGGCCGATACATGAGCAGACCCTGCCGCGTCTTCACGCGCGTTATGGCCACGTAGCTCGACATCCAGCTCACGTTTCTGCCTTCCTCCAAGTCCGCTATGACCGCGTCGAGCGTTCGCCCTTGCGCTGCGCGCGCCGTGCGCGCCAACCCAGGCGAAAGTATAAACTGTCTCCGTCGCACCCCCAACACGGGCTTCTTTCGATACGAGTCCAGCTGCCACGTCCGAGCCCGAGGGATTATGGGATACAGCCCTGGTCCCGGCATCCCTTTGAGCGTCCACTCCTCGGCGCGAAAGTCCAACGCGATTTGCCTGAGCATCTTGCGCAGGACTCTGGACGACACGTTCTGTACGTCTTCTTCTTCTTCATCTACCACCCATGAATGTATCGTCGCGCGACGCCCTCGTAGCAATTGCTTCTCTGATCGGTCCAAATGGTCCGTCAGTACAACTGGCATGCCCACGGCAAGGGGTAACCATCCTGTAACCATCCCGGCATGTCTGCACAGGCCTTGTCGTGGTATCCGAGCCACCGCACTTTGTCTGCTGAGGTGCACGGTCGTTCCTGGTACGTCGCGTGCGTTGCCTTATCCCGCGCGTAAACCCACGAAATCTGTTTATGGCACGCAGCCCAGTCGACGGCCCGCTGCCGCGCTACCTTGCACTTGACATCCTGATTCGGATAAATGGCAGTGGCTTCGACGAGCTGCGGAAGTGCGAACCGTTCGTCTGCGGCACTAGTGGCTACGAGGCATCGACGCGTTCTTTCTTCAGCACACCGTCCACACTCCAGCTCGTTGTCCTTTGCGATAGCCTCCACGTTCTGCATGCAGGTTAGTGAACCACACATTGGCTGGTTATTCAACCAAGACCCTGGAACGTCTGTAGGTTTCCCATGCCGGAACTGGTGCGTCCTTTCGGTCAGGGCTCCCCGTCGGAACTCATCTTGTACTGCCAGGAACCACTCGTCCTTCTCTTCCAAACGCTGGCATTCTACAAATTCCGTCATCCCCGCCACGGACCCTGGCCCCTCGCCCCAGAAGATGTACTGACCATGATCTTCTTCAGCGCCTGGCGCATACTGCCTTGCCTTCCGTACCCATGACGTTGGAATCGCATTCAATGGAGTTCTGCCGGGAGGCTTCAACTGGTAGAAATCTCAGCAGAATAACACATTAACACCTCCAAACGGACGGACTACCTTATCGGCACCCACCTTCCCCTGCCTCGCTGCCGACATCACAGACCGCAAGTGCGCATCCATCTCTGCAAGAAAATAGCACTGACCATGCTGATTTCGTCGATGATGAGCCAACGCCACTGCTGAATTCGCTTCGCTGCCTCTACTTTTTTGGCACCCGGCTCTCCGCGCTTCTTACTGGTTTCCGTGCTGGCGCCGTACGGAATCATCCCAAACGCGGCGTGCAACGTGTGCCCATCCAGACTGGACGCGCTCGTGGCTTGTAACGCAGCCACTTGGGAGTCCAGCCCGTGTTCCCAGCCCATGACTCTCTCGAACACGTGTTTCCGCAAGGTCTCTACCACAAAACTCTTCCCTGTGCCTGGGCCTCCGCGCAGCATCCACAGCAACGGTTCCGAACTGAGCATTCTCGAACCATTTCTCAGGAGCCATCGCGCCTTCTGAGCAGTTTTCTGAGCCTTCTCCAGAGACACAGGGGACTTTTCAGAAGACCAGAGGCCTTCTGAGAAGCAAAAGCCCCTCCGCCCTATGAGAAGGCCTGCCCCCTTTTCACTTCCCCGCCCCAGGGCGCACCGCTGAATTAAGGAGGAAGGGGACTTTGGCACCCAGAAGCCTTGAACCCCCCAATCATGCCATCTCTTGCATATTCGGTGTTCGGTGGCACCCCATGGGAATCTCCCACGCCATCTTGTCGGCTCTTGCGAATCGACGCTCATCGACGCTAAATCGATGCAAATCGACGCTAATCGACGGTAGCCGACGCGGCGCTATCCCATCGACTCCCACACGCTAATCGACGCTAGTCGACGCTAAAAATCGGCTCCCATGATTTGCTACCAGATCTTGCAGGCACATGTCTTACTTCCGCCGGCTACTCCGGCAAAAAAGGCCTCGGTTTCCCTCCTCCGCTGTCCGCCGGCCTCTCGACAAGGAAGAGATGGAACCCCTTCGACCCTCGAATGCAAGGCCCATATCGAAACCCCCTGCCAACCGCAGGCGAGCCCAGAATCGAATCAATCATTCCGATCGGCGATCCAGATGAATCGGATCGGCGGAGATCGGCAGCCAAGTCGGACAACATCGAATCGGCGGACGTCAGCAGGCTAGGAGAATCCAAATCGAAATCCAAAGTGAATCGAATAGGAAGCGGAAACCATCGAAATCCAATCAAATCGAATCGGGGGAATCCGCCGACCCCTTGTGGGCCTCTAGGCGTGTGAGAGTACCCCCCCCCATACTCCCCTCCCCAGGGACCCCAAACCGGCAATTCGACCCCCCCCCCCTCGCACAGCCGGACCCCGGACCGAACCCGCCACGGGGGAGCGGAGAGCTCCAAAACTGGCGAAGAAGGCACCAAAACGCTCCCCAGACGGTCCCAGGAGGGCACGAATCGCCGAAATATCGCCCTGGACGCCCACGATGGACTCCAGGCGGCCCCCGAAGCTGCCAAGACGCACCGAAAGGCCCCCAAGATGCGCCCAAAGATAGCCCCAAGAAGCAAAAATCGCCCCATTCTCTTTGAAAAACAAACATTTTTCGCATGCTCGCTGATTCGGTTTTCCCAACGTCCCAGACGGGCAAAGAAACCTTCAATATCGCCCCCAGACGGCCAAAGGGGCACCCAAGAAGGGCCGAAGAGGGGCCAACAACAGCCCCCGTAACTCCCAAGACAGCCCAAGAGGGCCCCCAGACGGCTCCAAGACGGAGCCCAGAGGGCACCTTTTCGAGCCTCGGCCCCAAGACGTCCCCAGCGTGCCCAAAGAACAGCCCAAGAGGCCCCGAGGGACCCCCAAAAGAACCTTAAAGGCCTCCAAGAAGCCTCCAGGAAGCCCCCAAGAGGCCCCAAAACTTGGCCCAAGATGCCTCGAGGCGGCCAGACATGGCCTGCAGACAGGCCACGATGCCACCAAAAGGCAACAAAGGAGCACCAGGAGGTACGATAACAGCAACGAAGCAACAGGAACGATGTCCAGCGCCGTGTCATGATTCGGACAAGCCTCGTGAAATGCAGTCCTGGAGGCGCAGTAGCTTACATAGGGGTCGGCGGATGTGGCGTAAGCCTACAGAATCAAATGCAGGTTGCCACTGCGAGGCGAGGCCCGTCAGCGTGGCTGCGCGAAAAAGGAGGAGGCAGGAAGAACCAGGGGGCTGCGTGGCCACTGCAGCTGGCCGCTGCCGAGTGGGACAAGGTGCACGCGCGCTGACTCAGCCATTAACGGTCAAAAAACATCTCCTCCTGGACATGTTCCTCCTGGTCCTGTGCCAGCTCGAGCAGTTCCAGCGCCTTCCCGGCCACCTCGGGGCCGCCCATGGCCTCGGCGGCGGCGCCCAGCGGGCCGCACGCGGCCCCGCGGACCTCCCAGTCCTGGTCCTGGGCCAGCTGCAAAAGCAGCTCCAGCGCCTTCCCTGCCACCTCGAAGCGGCCAACCTCGGCCACGGCGGCGAGCGGGCCGCACGCGGCCCTGCGGACCACCCAGTCCTGGTCCTGGGCCAGCTGCGAGAGCGGCTCCAGCGCCTTCCCGGCCACCTCGGGGCCGCTGACCCTGGCGGCGGCGCCCAGCGGGCCGCGCGCGGCCTGGCGGACACGCGGCATCTGGTCCTGGGCCAGCTGCGAGAGCAGCTCCAGCGCCTTCCCGGCCACCTCGGGGCCGCCAACCTCGGCGACGGCGGCGAGCGGGCCGCACGCGGCCTGGCGGACGTTCCAGTCCTGGTCCTGGGCCAGCTGCGAGAGCAGCTCCAGCGCCTCCCCGGCCACCTCGGGGCCGCCAACCTCGGCGACGGCGGCGAGCGGGCCGCGCGCGGCCTGGCGGACGTTCCAGTCCTGGTCCTGGGCCAGCTGCGAGAGCAGCTCCAGCGCCTTCCCGGCCACCTCGGGGCCGCCAACCTCGGCGACGGCGGCGAGCGGGCCGCGCGCTGCCTGGCGGACGTTACAGTCCTGGTCCTGGGCCAGCTGCGAGAGCAGCTCCAGCGCCTTCAGGGCCACCTCGGGGCCGCTGGCCTTGGCGGCGGCGCCCAGCGGGCCGCGCGCGACCCCGCGGACCTTCCAGTCCTGGTCCTGGGCCAGCTGCGAGAGCAGCTCCAGCGCCTTCAGGGCCACCTCGGGGCCGCCAACCTCGGCGACGAAGCCGAGCGGGCCGCGCGCGGCCTGGCGGACGTTCCAGTCCTGGTCCTGGGCCAGCTGCGAGAGCAGCTCCAGCGCCTTCCTGGCCACCTCGGGGCCGCTGGCCTTGGCGGCGGCGCCCAGCGGGCCGCACGCGACCCCGCGGACCTTCCAGTTCTGGTCCTGGGCCAGCTGCGAGAGCAGCTCCAGCGCCTTCCCGGCCACCTCGGGGCCGCCAACCTCGGCGACGGCGGCGAGCGGGCCGCGCGCGGCCCCGCGGACCTTCCAGTCGCCCTTTTGCTGGGCCAGATTCACGAGCGGCTCGATGGCCGTCCCGAGCGCCTCGGGGCCGCCAAAGAGTGCCCAGGCCAGGGCGGCGAACTGCTCGCGCACGACCTGTTGATGAATGCCAGTGCCTGTCGCAAGGAGGGCCTGTTTGAGCGATTTCGTCAGCGCCTCGACGCCGCCGCCGGCCTCGGCGAGGGCGATGAGCTCTTCGAGCTGGCGGCCTGAGGCTATGGCCGCGAGCACATTGCTGCGGACCTACTGGTTCGGGCTTCGTGCCAAGCGCAGCAACAGACCTACAACAGCCTCGCACCTGCTGCCGCAATCGATGCAAGATTTGGCGTGAGACATCAATGCCATGCACGGTTTGATGGCGTCGCTTCCGGAGGCCGCCAGTTCTGCAGCTTGCAGCGCCACCTTCATCCACTCCAGCGCGACCTTCAAGGAGTTCTGGAAGTACTCATCGGCATTGAAATCTCCAAACGGTCGATCGTAGATGTCGCGGAGAGCCTTTTCGAACACTTCCTGGATTGCGTCGTGCTCGTATAGCAGTGTTTCCCTCTCCGCCTCCCGCTTCATCTCGCGCTTCGCCTCGCCCTGAAGGTTCCGGCACATGTCTTCGACCACCTTGCGCCCCTTCCCGATTACCTCCTCGATAGTCGAGCAGGTGAGATTGAGATTCAGGCGAAAGGAGACCACCAGGACCTTGTCCTCGACCGATGTGCCCAAAACTTGCATGCTGGTCAGGGAGGGGGAAGCGCATTTCCTTTTCATGTGGGCACTGCGAGATCCAGCTCAGCTCGGCGCCCCTGTCGATCATGCCGGTCTGGATCTCCAAGACGGTGCCTGCGCTCTGGCCCGACGCGTGCTGCATGGCGACTTCACGGTCCGTGGTTGTGCTCATAAATCCGTATTCGATGCCGCCCTTCACTCCGGCGTCGTCCTTCCCCCAAAATTGTTTCGGGAGACGGCCGCCTTTGGTGCCGCGCATGACGGTGCAGGCCTTGGACGTCTTGCTGGCCTTCGCCAGCGCTGATGCCAACACGTGGATGGTTGTCGCGTACCGATTCACCGCCGCTTCTTTGCTGCCGCCTGGACTGCCTCCGCACAATCTCTGGAACCGGTCGCGCATGACCTTGCTGGGCTCGCGCTCGCACTCTGGCAGAGGACCCCCGCGGCACACGGCGTTGTATTTCTCGAACAGAGGGCCCGAGTACAGACACAGAGCGACGGCCTCAGCCAGCAGCAGGGGCTTCTCCCCAACCTCCCTGAGCTCCTTGTTCTTTTTAGCCAAACCACGTAGGATATCCTGTCGATTTGTGGACCGGGGGGTTCCAGTATTTTCCGTCTCATCTGGCCACTGCAGCGGCGGGCCCACCCCCAGATGCACTGGTTCCTTAAGTTTCTCGACCTCCTCCTTAGGCTTCTTGACGTGCTGTTCCCACTCGTCCACTTCTTCGTCCGTGGCTCCAAGACTGCTGGTGCCCTTCAACTGGTCGAACACGTCCTGAAGCACCAGGAGGAACTCATTCCTGGACGTGGTGGTAATGCCATAGTTTCCTGTCTTCCACTCAGACTTAGAGTCCACATTTTCGCAGTGGTCGTAGACCATACCTTTGAGGACGTCTGGATTCGGGGGGCCGATGCGGAACTCCAGACCCTGGAAGAAATCCGCCTTCGTGCCGAAGTCGAACTCGAACCCCCCGTCGGCAGCGAACTTCTCGTTCAGGGCCTCGCCTGCGGCGGCTGCACTGTCCACGAGGGCGACGCCGCGCTCTACAATGGCGCTGGCAAGCTTGAGGCTGATGCCGTTCTGGTCCAGCTGGTGCGCGATGGCACGGCTGGTCGCCTCTCGGTCCTCCTTGCCATTCCGGCCCACGGCCGTGATGAAGGCGAGGGAGCCCCCTGGCCATGAAAGCTCCTGGGGCACCAGCGCCACGGCCACGGCGGCCACGGCGGCACTCGGGGCACTGCCGAGCCACGCCTCGAAGTTCCAGTCGGGGCACCCCGCGTCAGCGACTTCGGCTGCGGTCTCCCAACTGCCGACGAAGCTGCCGCGCCCGTGGGGCCTCCCGTCCGTGCCCATTCGCCGCTCCTCCCCGGCCGCGCGCACGATGTCGCGGAAACGCTCCGCGTCGGCCGACGGAGCCCACCGCCGTGGGGGGCCAGCCTGCGCGGCCTCTGGCCCTGAGGGCACTGCCAGAGCCGCCCTGTCGGCCGCGGGCGCCTGCAGCTCGTCGTGGAGGCCCTCGCGCTCCCCGGAAGCGGTGCCGAGGGAATCCTCGTAGACAACGCGCAGCGACTCGGCGTCGAGGGGTTGGACGGCGCCGCGCTCGGCGCCGCCTGGCGGCACGCGGTCCTGGAGCACCCGGAGCTCGTCGGGGATGCGCTCGTGATCCACGGTGCGCTGCACAAGCTGCGACGCCGTAGCGCTATGCTGGCTTGGACCGGTTGGTGATGTCGGGCTTCTGCTGGGCGGCATCGATTGGCTGCCTTCTCCCAGGGCGGCCTCGCAGTCGGTGGTAATGGCCACCTTCACAGGGAACAAGTTTCCGCCGCCCTTATCGGCGAAATCTTTCAAGAACGCCCAGGCTTCATAACACCGGCACGCGGTGTCCACCAGGACGAGGCTCGTCTCGGGCACCTGGACGTCGTGCAAGAACGCGCAGAGATCGGCCGCACTCTTCAGCAGGCAAATGTCCTCGATCCCACGCCCTGCTGCGCTGGCTGCGCGAGCCAGCTCGGCCTCCTGAGGGTCGGAGTCGTCCACCCGGATGTACCACTCGTCCTCGTCGTGGGCACAATTGTGGTGGATGCTCTCCGCCTTGGCCTCGGACTCCGGGCTCAATGGCCTCTTGGCCCGTGCGCCACTGGCTGGCTGCGGGAGTATGGCCGCTGCTGCTGCTATAGCGCCCTGGCCGCTCGAGAGGCGTGCGGCGGCCTTGGGCGAAGGCTGACTGCCGGCGCTGGGCCGGCTGCTGGGCTGCGAGGGGCGGGGCGAGTGCGTGCCCGCAGGCCTGGCGCCGGCAGGGCTGCGGAGGCCGAGGCCTTTGGGCTGGCCGCTGGACTGCGACAGGCGGGGCGCGCGCGCCCCCGCGCCCGCGGGCTTGCGGCTGGCGAAGCCGTCTGCGGTCAGGTCGGTGGTGCTGGTGCGCGCAGCTGACTGCGGCGCGTCGGGTTTACCCACGGGTGCCTTGGTGGCCCTCGCGGCTTCCCCACCTCGGTCGCTGCTGCGCGGTGGCGGCCGGAAGGCGCTGCCCAGCTGGCTGGCGGTGTTCGGCTCGACTGGCTGCCGGCGCTGATGCGGGCCTGCCGCTGGCCGCTGGCCACTGCCGGCGGCGAGGGCAGCCTCGGTCGCCGCAGTGCCACGCGCCGCTGATGGGAGGCCAGCGCTGCTGGAGGGCTTGGCCGGCGGGGGGTCGAGCCGAGGCTCGGCGTCGTCCTGGTTGAGCAAGCACCCAGTGCTCGTGCCCATCCGCGGCGCAGGGCGGGCTGCGCGGGGCGGGCTGCGCGGCCCGAAGCCGGCGCCCGTGCCGCGCGAGGCGGCCGGCTGCCCCGCGCCCCGGGGACCTGCCGCGGGCGTGGCGCTCTTGGGGCCCGCGGCGCTCTGCCGCGGCAGGACAGGCCGGTCCTCTGGGGCGCTGCGCCGGGCGCCGCCGCTGGGGGGTGCCATCGCGTCGCCCGAGGGCGAAAAGGTGCGCGTGCCGGCGCGCGCGTCGCCCGAGGGCGAAAAAGGTGCGCGTGCCGGCGCGGGGTGGCGGGCGCCTCAAAGCCTGAGTCAGCGCTGCTTGAGCCAGGATGACTGCCGCTTCTGCCGCCAGGTCTTCAGACGGAGGCCGCAGAGAGGGGCGGACAAATCGCGCTACCAGAGGAACGTCTGAATACCCCGACCCCCCTTCGCGTCGCCCAAAAAACACGATACACGACGGCTTTCGCCGCTCGAGACTGGCCGCAAGAACTGACGCCCACGCCCGGCGATCCGCCTGCGTGGCTTTGCGGGCACCGCGACCCTCGGACGAACCAGGGGACGGGCCGACGGAGAGAAGCGGGCCAGGCAGGGGACAGGAGCAGGCAGGAAAGCGAGGAGCCGGGTAGCGAGCACGGGAGGGGGGGGGGGAGGGAGGACGGCGGGAAGGGACAGCCCGGGCCGACGGACAGAGGGACGGGGGGGGACGGAGAGGGGGAAGCAAGCAGGAGGGGGGGGGGGAGAGCGCGCACCGACCCAAGGGCGGGGAAACACCAGGGCAAGGGAGAGGCATGGGGAGGGGGAGAGGCAACGGGGGAGGGGCGAGGGCGGGAGCTGAGAGAGCTTCGGGGAGGAGCCGCGGGCCGAGGCCGAGGCGAGAGGGGAGGCGGAGCCGAGAGGCGCGCGGCCGAGCGGCAGCGCCGCAGAAGCTAGAAGGGTGCCAGGCTGTGCCCTCTCGGCGGGAGGGAGGGCCACGCCGTGCGGGCGGGCGGAGGCGGCTGCGGGGGCGCGCTTCTGGCCGCGGGGGCCCTCGCCAGGCGCCCAGGAGGGTCCCGAGGCGCCTCGGGACGAGAGAAGACGGCCCCAGAGGAGGCGTCCAGAGTCCAGACGTCTGGCGCATCACGCCGCGGAGGAGTGGGCACGATCCCAGGCTCGGCTGCCCTGGTTTCGACCCGGAGCTCGACCCGCGGCTCGAACACAGGAGCCTGGCGCGACGCGTCCCCAAACACCTGGTGCAGCACGCGACGAGCCAGCATGCAGCGTGTGCAACCCGGAGGCCCGTGTGGCGTTTCAGCACGGGCGTCTCCTAGATCTGGGAATGCCCCCCTTCGCCATGTCCCCGCCTCCAGGGCCCTGGCGCCGCCACACAACAACAAAAAAACTCCAGAGGCCCTGGGTCCAGAAACCACTGGCGGCTCACCCGCACCAGGAAGCTGAAAACACAGGTGGCTGGACTCGGATGCGGAACGCCCAGAGGCCACCTGCCTGGCACGCTGCCACGCGCGGAGGCACGGCGTGCACGGCCACAGAGAGGCCGAGCGCTGGAGAGACGTGGTGGCCACGCGTGCATCCAGCCCTCGCCCGGGCTGGCCGCGGCATGCGTGTCCGGCTTCCCGGCACTTCCGCCGCCGCGCCCGCTACCTGTTTGCTCGAGCTGCACTCTGCGGGCCGCAGGCGAGCTTCGCTGGAGGCTGGGCCCTCCATGGAGCGGGACAGGAGGCCCCGCACCGCGCGGCTTCCCGGAGCGGCTGGGAGGGCCAGCGGCTGCGGTGGCGGGGCCAAGACATCGGTGGCAGCTCACGTGAGCCTCCCTTGCCCTCTTGCAGGCTCTTGCGAACCGACACTCACCGAAGCAAGTCGACGCTGATTCGACGCTGGATCGGCGCTCTGTCGACGACCAGACGCTAGCGCACGCTAGTGCACTCGTAAGGCGAAACTCCGAGGACACGCAAGGCCCCCCTGAGTTGCCACCGGACAAGGCCAGGGCGCCACGACATAACGACGTCGCCGTCGTCGTTTCGGAGGTCTTGGGGCGTTTCTGGATGTTCTCGTCGCCACGGACGGACGCACGGAGCTGGACGAGCTGGCCAGGGTGGGCGCCTTCTTGGGAGGAGGGGGCCAGGACGGATTGAACGCATTTTGGTCGGACGGCGGTGGCAGCGGCGACGTTGACAGCGACGAAGTCGTCCAACGCGACAGCCGGTCTGGCTGAAAAGGGGCTGCGAAGAGAACGGCCGCGGCAACGCCAGTAGCACTGCCTTGCAGGTGGTGAGGAAGCCCAGCGCCCGAAAGACACGTCGAGCGCACGGGACGGCATGAAAGCGACGATGGGCTTGGCAGCAGTGGCAGCCGCAGCGACGGCAGCCGTGACGACGAGAGAAGCTGAAAGGACAGCGGTGGCAGATGGGGGACCAGGGGACAGCGACAGCGAAGGGCGAGAAGGACGGGGCGCGACGCCCGCGCGGGCCGGGACGGCGGCACCGCGTCGCAAGGTGGGCGCCATGGCCGTGCCTGGCGTAGCCGGGGAGCAGCTCGGCGGGACACGCCTCGGAGAGGAAGCACAGGGCCGCGCGCCGACCGCTGCAGCCGAGCGGTGTGGCACCACGGTCGGTATCGAGGACTCAGGCGGGTAGCGTTGCAATGGCCATCCTGCGTTGAGGTTGGTTCTCGGAGGCGAAAGCGAAACCAGGGTGAGGCCTTCAGCGCAGGAGAGGAGAGCAGTTGGCATGCACGGAGCGGCGTGCAGAAAAGAGGAGCTAGATGAATACACAATCACACACACACACACACACACAATCGCACTCGCACTCGCATTCGCACTCGCACGACTGCGCCACCAACACACGCGCACCCCCGAAGATCGCCTCTCTTCCCCACAGCCGCACGCGTGCACGCGCGTACGCAGGCCATGTGCACAAGCCCGCCGGCTCACCTTCACGCGCACGTGGCCGACTCCAGAAATCTTGAGCCCGAACTGTTGGCGTCTCACTGTCACTTCCGCCTCCTTCTGCCGACTCTCCACAAGCTTCTGCCAGCGGGCCCGCCGCCGGTATGCGTCCGATGGCATCTGCCAGCCTTCCGCCATAAATCGAGACGAACCAACGACGAGGCTCTTCCTTGAGCGCACCACACGGACCCCAGTCCCCTTCGGCTCCTTGCTGTCCCGCGTGGCGTGCTCCGAAGCGATCTTTTGGTGCCTTGCTGCCCTGCGGGCCGGCGGCGTGGTCGTGGCCGCGGGCACCACGGGATGCTCTTCGCCGTCAGCCACCGAGGCGAGGGGCTGCACCTGGCGCGTGCGCAACTGGGCGCTGCGGTCGGTCGACTGCCGTCCCGTCGCTCTCTTTCCTCGTGCTGTCGTTCATCATCCGTTGCTGCGTCGCTTCCCCCCATACTCCTCCCCCCCTCGAGTTCGGACTTCCGCCGCCAATCCTCCTCTTCCTCTTCCCCTTCCTCTTCACAAGCTTCCCCCCTTTGTGTATGTTTCCTGCTCCTTTTCCGCACATGTTCCTCCCTTTCCTCCTGCTCCTCCTCCTCCGTCCGCAATAAAAAACTAGCCCTCCCCTTCTCTCCAGACTCTCTGCAGAAGTTGTCCCGCCCTCCCTGGATATACCCTTTACACAAAAAGAGTTGGATGATTCAATCTTCCTTGTGATGTGTACCATCCGATTGTTTTTTCCGGTCCCTAAAAATGGTGCTGTCGCTGCAGCGAGGGCCTCCGTGTGGGATCAGCGGCTTTCCCCCGTCAATTAGAATGGAACTCTCGCCCCAGCGTGGGCCACTTTTCTGGTTCCGAATCCGTCCTCATCCTTGTCGCCCTCCTCCTTTTTCCTCCTCCGCCGTCCCCTGGTCCTCCTGCTCCTCCCACTCCGTCCACTCCAGTACGTGCTGCTGCTGTTCGTCCTCATCATCGTCCTGCCTCATCCTCTTTTTCCTCTTGCTCATCATCCTGTTCATCCGCCTCCTCCTGCTCCAATGTACGCAGCTCCCTTTTTCTGGTTGCGCATAGGCCCGATGGGGTCCTTTTTGGAGCTCAAGGTTCGCTCTGATACGCGTCGTTGAAAACAGAGAAATCAGTGAATAGGGGAGGGATGGCTGAGAGGGGATCTGGCGCGAGCGCACCTGGCCTGTGTTGCTCCCACTTCTCCTCTCTGCCGGATCAAACTTCCCCTGCCCATATTCCTCCTCCTCCTCCTCTTCCTCCTCCTCTTCCTCCTCCTCCTCCTCCATTTCCTCCATTTCCTCCTCCTCCTCCTCCACCTCCTCCTCCTCCTCCTCCTCCTCCTCCTCCTCTTCCTCCGCCTCATTCCCCTTCCCCTTGCTCCTCTTCCCTCCCCCCCTCCCTCCCTACACTCACCGTCGCCCTCCAGCATCCCTTCTCCTCCGCAGCCTCCGCCTCCGCCTCCGCCTCCGCAGCGCCACCACCACCGCCCCTGCCGCGGTCCCCGCCGCCCGCCCCGCCCCCCGTGGCACCGCCCCCCTCACCGGCCTTCGGCGGCGGCGCCTCCTTCTGCGGGGCGGGCGGTGCGGCAGTGCCTGCGGGGGCGGCTGAGGTATGGCGGCCGGGAGGTGGCCGGACAGGGCGAGCGGGCGACGGCGAAGACGTTCACGAAAAGGAAGCAACGAGGGGAAAAGGGGGAAGGGCGGGGGGGAGGGCGGGAGGAGGAGGGGGAGGGGAAGGAGAAGTGGGAGGACGAGGAGGAGGACGAGGGGGGGAGGGAAGGAGGAAGGGTGAGAAACGAGCAGCGGGAGCAGAAGCACGGAGGTGGGGACAAGAGGAGGAGGAGGAGGAGGAGGAGGAGGAGGAGGAGGAGCGAGCGGCATCCAAGGGGTTGGTGGTCAACGGTTTCGGCAGCGGTGGCGGGGCGCAGCAGGGCGGCAAGGGGGCCGCCTGCGCGCCGGGCAGGCCGCCGCAGGCGAGCTCTGCCGAGAGCTTGGTCGTCGGAGTGCGAGCGGGGCCGGCGGCGGCGGCGCAGATGGCAGCGCAGAACGGAGCGTGGGCCAGGTCATGAGCGAGGCCGACAAGGCGAAGGGAGCAGGGACGGGCAGGACCCTGAGGGGGGGGGGGGGGGGGGGGCAAAAGTACGCTGGACGGCTGTGGCGGTCGGGAACGCCTCCGGCAGCCCTGGAAGCACACAGAGGAAACGGTCGAAAACAGGGCGATCATGCACTGCAGCACGTCGCCCCCCCCCCCCCCCCCCCTAACCGACAGCACAGCGACACTGTCTGCACCGCTTCGCGGGGGTCCCGAAAAAACCTAGACGCGCACCAACTAGCACACAAAAGCCAGAGCAAGTACATACACATAAAAGGCGGGATTATATGTGCGAGCCTCTTAGGGAACATGAGACACGAATCAATATGCCTGGCTGTCGGGGGGGCGGATATTCGCGAAGAAATTATTTCGTTTGGGCAAAATACAGCGCGAACTCCAGGACCTCCCAAAACTCCGGAGGCGACCGATGTTCCTCTGCAGGGGCGGCGCGAGGAAAGGCAGTTTGGGAACGGACGCGATATAGGCATAGTTGTGTATGGAGGCCATGTTCGAGGACGTTGGGGCAATCGGGCGCCTGAGCCAGAAGCACACGCAATCATCGCCCTCGGCGAAGAGCTCGACCTCGCGCCGCAACAGGAAGAGAAAGGACGAGTCAAGGCTAAGCGACCATAGCAACACGGCGCATGCACTCAAGGTCTCCAATCTGGATCGCCCCCTCCCCACCCGACCCCACCGCCCCTCACCCACCCACCAAACCCGCCCCGCCCCAGTCTCAGCCCCCCGCCCACCCCCGGCCCGCGCATGCGAAGTCCTGCAGCATCGACGTTGTGAAAAGGGCCCTGGGGCACACAAATAAATACACACAAATAACAGGATTCCCCACATGTTCCAACATTGTTTTGATTTTCGTCTTCCCCCCCACTTCCCATATTTTCCCATATCCTCTGGGGAATCGACGATTCACTGTGTCTGTGTGCTTGTTTCCCTCCTGAAAATTGTATTCGCAAGAGCCTGAACAGCTCCTCCCAGTCTCGATCTCGCGAACTTGCAGGGCGGGAAAGACCAGCGGGCCGACGAATGCGAGGCGCGAAGGCCCGTGAGAACGCTGAAGGGAGCAATGCTGCTGTTGAGCCCCGGGAATGAACGATTCCTCCTCGGGCCCCCCCCATCCATCTCCCCCGCCAGCCCCCCCCCCCAGCTTAGCACATGAGCATCCCACCCCAGAAGCATCCCGAGACATCCAGCAGCAGCAGCGCGTGCAAACTTCTCCGCGCGGGCGCCGAGTTCTCTGAGCTCGCTCACACACTCGCCCATGGAAGGCGGGCTGTCAGGAACCGCAGCCGACTACATAAGACGGAGCAGCATTCCTGCAGCACCAGCAGCTACGACCCGAACCTCGAGAGCGATCGAGAGCGCCTGATAGATGCCCCTGGAAGCCAACCAGACATCATCCGCAAAGGCTCGGAGGAGACCGAGGCCCCGGCCGCGCGTCATCCCGAGGATCGGATCGATGAAGAAAGCGAAGATCGATCCAGGAAGCGGGCGCCCCAAATTGATCCCCTTCCCTGGCCGGCAGTAGAAGCCCCTGAGGCGCCCAGAGACCGCGTCGACCCTGGCGCGCACGTAAAGGACCTGGACTGCAAGCCTAACGCGAGCGGGCGCACTCATGACGAAGAGGGCCCAGGCAATCATGCGATGGAGGAGGCCAGAAAAGGCTGCCTTCGCGACTAAGGCAGCGATGCCTGCATCCTTGCACGGGCGCTGGCAACGCCAGCTCATCGCATTAGCTCCGATGTCAAGTGCGTCGGCGGTGATATTTTCCCCATTGATAAACCGCGTCTGGACATCGACGCACACTTGCCGGCGCAGGCCCATGGGAACATTGAACATTGAACTCGTGGAGACAACATTCTTTTCTACGTGGCTGAGGGTGGTCGGCCCCGTCTGAACCTCAGGGAACTCGAGAGCCCAATCAACTCCAGGAGGGCGCCGCTGAATGCCCCCGAACACGAGCGGCCCCCGGACAGCTCTTGCACCCCCCAAGCGACGCGCGAGAGTTACGCCGATATCTTCGGGGTCGCATAGCCAGTTCCCCGCGAGATCCACAAATCCCGAAAGAGATACGCGTCGTTCTGGATCTTGCCCCGCGCGGAGGTGCACCTTTCCAGCCAGGCCTCGAAGGCCTCTTTCTCGCGGGGGGCCGCGGGGGCAGCTTCAATCTCTCGCCGGCGCTCTCGGATCCTCTGGGGTGAAAAACGGGGGTGATCGTGAAACTGCCGCTCGCGTGTCCAGGCGACTCCGCCACCCTGGGCGACAGGGCTGAGCGGCGGGGGGCACCAAACAGAACGCGCAACAAGCTCCGCGTGGCCACTGGCAACAGCTCGCATTGAGAAAAGGGCACCGGGGCGGCGCGCTCGCCGGTGCTCCGGGCAGGGCGGGGAGCAAGCCTGCGCCGCGCAGGCTGCGCACTGCCCCGAAAGACGCCGCTGGCTTCCGAATGGGCGCGCCGGAAGTCCTCGGCAGGGGCCCCACTTCCCCTCGAGGCAGCCCCACCTCCTCGGCGAAGCGCGGGGCGCCTGGGGGCCCGCGGCGGAACGCGCGCGGTCCCTGGAGGCCCCGCCGCAGTGAAGGCGGCGCAGACGGGGGCGTGATCCGAGGGATTGTCTTTCTTTCGGGAGCGGCCAAGAGGGGGGTGTCCAAGAGGGGGGGGGGTGCAAATCATGACCGGCGGCATGTGCGCGGCCCAGTGGGGGGGCCAGGGACGTAATGAAATAAGAAGAGGCGCCATGAAATCTGAGGAAAAATCATGGCCCGCGCCATGAAATCCACCCCCCCCTAGTCATCACCCCCCTCTTTTCCGCTCCCGATTCTTGTTCGGGGCCCCGGGGACGAGGCCATCGGGGCCGGGGTAGAGGGCCCGGGCAAGGCGCAGGTCGGAATAGATCCTGCCGGTTCGCCCACGGCTATAAGCCCTTGCGGGCCCGCGCGCGAGGCGCGGGCGAACTATCAGGCAGGTCGACCTCTGGGAGGTCAGGGGAGGAAAGCGCGAGGTCGCTGGCTTGGGAATTCTGCAGGACTATAACTTCGCCGTCGCTGCGGACCCTGCCCCCGCCGGCGCTGCGGAAGTTCAGGTTGCCGATGACTATCGATGGCGAGGCCCCCTGCGGTCGCAGAACGCGACGCAAACGCTGAGGCAATCGAGGTTGCTCTTGCAGTCGCAGCGCGGCGTTGAGGCGGAGGTTGACGAGCTGGAGGCCCCGAGGGCCCAGACAGCAAGATACCATGGAGAATGCCGCGAATATGCGCGCGATGAGAACGGGTGCGAAACATAACAGAACAACCAGGATGAACGGAGAGCATGCAGCCGCCAGCTCTCTTTCTCGAGCGTGAAAAAAACGCGCAGGCCCTGGATATCATGCTGGAGCAGTCTCACGCCCTCTCGATTTAGATGATGTGTCTCCTGAAACCCTGCAAGCCTATGTCCCTCAACATGTTTGGTGCAAAATCTGCGTTCGGCTCGCGTTGTTTCGATCGGCGTACTGGCAGACCCCAAACGAGCCTCTGGCATTCCATGAGACTGCCGAGAACTTGCTGAAAATCTGAAATGGCCTGGAACCAAGCTGAACTGGAGAGGTGGAAGAAAAAGACGAGGGCGAAGAAGAGCTGCTGCCGTCACTGTCTGACTCGGGAAGGCCCCTCCTGCGGTGATGCAGACTGAGCCCCACGTGATGAACGAGCAACAGATCGAGCCCTTCTCGACGTCGCACCCGCGCGGCATGCCGGCAACGCTGCAAAGGAAGTCGGAAAAGCCACAGAAAAAGGGGAAGCGGGCGTCTCAGCAGAACCGCCCGGAAAAAAAGGAGTGGCGACAACGAACCTGGCCAAGGGCCCCTGTCCATGAGGACCAGGATTTTCAGCAGGCTCGTCGGAAATGGGATCGTCCAAGGAGGACAACGGCAGGCGGATAACGGAAGAGCCGACGCCTGACACGTCAGCGTGCAACTGCAAGTTCAGCGGTGCAAGCTCAGAGCACATGTCGATGAATACCCCTGTAGAGGCCATCTCCTCAATAATCTGCCAAGCCTTAATTTCTGCCTTGCCCACTGCCTCACGACCTTGGTGCGCCTGCTTGTCCATCCGCTGACTCCGCTTGGTGGTGGCCTCCTCGTGTTAATTGATGGAGGCCTGCAGTGTGGTCTTGGTGGCGAGGGTCTCCTGCTTCCTGTCAGCTTCCATCTGCTTCCTGATGCCCATGATATCGAGGTTCGTCGGCGGGTTATCCTGGGGTCGTCTTGAACTCCTCCGTCTTCGGTTGCTCCTTCACTGCTGTGGCACTGCAAGCTGCGGGAGCCTCGGCAGGTAAGTCATCTTTGGCCATGTCAAACTTATCGGGATCCTTTTCCATGGGCCAAGGAAGAGCGTGCAGACGGGCTCGGGCGCCTCCGTGTCGTCGGCGCCAGCAGCCTCAAGAACCACGTAAGCGTCGAGGATATCAGCCTGCACCTCCTTGGACGAGGGCGACCTGCCCATGCCCCCCGTCCTTCTCCTCATCAGAGTCAATCACGACGATGGTCTTTGTGTGCGGCTCATCCTTGTGTTCGCCGGTCCTGCGCAAGCCTCCTGACCACAGGTCTTTGCTGGCGAGCGAGTCGAAGCCTTTGTCCTTCTGGCCGTGGAGCCCTTGCCCTTTTAAGCATCGTGGCCGAAGTGCGACGGTTGTGGCCTGGGGGCTCTCTTGCCAGTGGCACTGCTGGGGTCTGAACCCCCTGGACTCATCATGGGATCAGCTGGGGAGATCCTCGTGGCGAAACGGAAAATGAGAGCGAGTGGTCCGCCAGCGCACGACACGCTGAACCCCCTGGGCTCGTCGTGGGATCAACTGGGGAGATCCTCGTGGCGAAACGGAAATGAGATTGAGTGGTCCGCCAGCGCACGACACGCTGGATCATGGATAGCTTGCACGAGAACTGCCCGCTCACATGGGACCTGTTCCCCTGATCCCATTTGAACCAAAATGGAAACGGAGGGAAAAAGAGGAGGAAAGGGGAGGAAGAAGAAGAAGAAGAAGAAGAGGGGGAGAGCATGGGGGGGACAGGAGAAGGAGGAAGAGAGAAAGGAGGATCAAGCAGGAGGATGGGAAAGAGGAGGAGAAGAAGGAGGAGGAAGTCAAGGCGGGGGGCGGCAAAGGACCGAGAGAGGAGGAACAGGTAGGGGTAGTGAAAGTGGTAGCGGTGGTGGTAGTGGCGACTGATAGTCATAGTGGTCGTGGTAGTGATCGTGGTAATGGTGTGGTGGCGCAGCTGTGTGATTGTGTAGTTGTGTAGTAGCGTGGTGGTGCAATGGTGTAAAGGTGTAGTGGTGGAGTGGTGCGGGGGTGTATTGATGTCGTGGTGAAGTGGTGTAGTGGTGTGGTAGTGCAGCGGGGTAGTGATGTAGAGGCGTGGTGATGTGGTGTAGCGGTAGTGGTAGCGGTGAAGCGGCAATGTTAGTCGTGGTATAGTAGTGGTAGCGGGGCAGTGGTAGTTGAGAAGTGGGGTAGAGATAGTGGTGTAGAAGTGTGATTGTGCTGATGCTAATGATAGTGGAAATGTGAGTGGGATTGGGAGTCTTGGTGGTAGTGGTAGCAGTAGCGGTGGCGGCAGTGCTAGGTACCGTAGTGGTGGAGGTGGAGGTGGCCGCGGCAGTAGCAGCGGCAGTGACAACGACAAGGTCGGAATTTAAGAGTGATCTCCAGTTGCCTCGGCCTTTTTGGAGCAAAGATGGCCCCGTGCTCAGGGGAGCAGGCCTCCCGCCAGAGGCGCCTCTCCCATTACGGCCTCCATCCACCACGACACGTCTGTCCTGCCCACGGCACCCCAGATCCTCGAGATCCGGGCCGCCTCCATGCGCAGCACCCTGTCGCACGCGCCACTCCCGAGCGCCCGCTGCAGCGCCGCAGACGGAAGAAGAGAAAGCTACACAAACATACATGTTCGAAGGTCCGCACGCGGATCCCGCGGGTCGGCGCTGGACCCCCATCCCTTTCCAGAGGTCTGGGGCTTCGACAAAAACTGGAGCTGCCAATTTTGGCTCGTTTTCGGCCTCTGGGTGCCCTCAACGGATTCCAGGACCGTCGAAAAACGACTCAAGACGAAAAGCAGGCCCTGGGGAAAATGCCCAGACCTCTTGGGGCCCACGCATCCACAAAATTGGAGTGCCGGATGTCTGGGTGGCGCTCGGAAAGCGCGCCAAAGGGCGGCGCTGGCGGTGCCGCGAAGGGGGGCCCGACGCAGATCCGAGAAAAACCGACCGGGATCTCCCGAAGCTTGTGCTCCATGCCGCTCTCTCTTCTTCGGGCAGAGGCGAGCCCCGCGAGCTCCTCGGCCTCAGGGGGGGGGAGCGGCAGGTACCGATACCGTCACTCCCGGGACCTCCCCCTGGGTGCGTTCTGGCCAAGACTCCGAGGCGAACCCGACCGTGGCGACGAGGGACTTCCAGGAGGCCCGAAATCTTATGTTGCATCCTCGGGGGACCTTGTCTGTCCCGTCGCGGCCCTGTCCGCGTCGAATGCGTGTCGAATCCATGTCGGACGCGTCGGATCCGTGTCGAATCCGTGTCGAATCCGCGTCGAATCCATGCCAAATCCGCGTCGAGTCCGCATCGAGCCCGCGTCGGGCCCCCAAAAAAGACACCAATTTTGGGGACAGGCGAGGTCCCCCGAAGATGCAACAGAAGAGATCGCGAGAAAACGATGCAGTCGCAGCGGCAGCGGCATACCCCCAGATCCCCGACGCCTTCCCCAGGGCCGGCTTCTCGCCCCGAGCCGTTTTTTGTTGACGGCCCCTGGGGGCCCCCTGCGAGGGCCCCCAGGAGGCCGAGAAGAGCCACACAGAGCCTGCGGGCGGAGGTCAAGATTCAGCTGTCTTGTTTAAGGGGCACTGGGACACACAAATAAATACCCACAAATAAAAATCTTCCCCATATTTTCCCATATTTTCTAGGTTCCTGTCTTCCCCCCTACTTCCCATATGCTTCCAGATTTTTTGGGGAATCAAGGATTCATTGTGTCTGAGTGTTTCTTTTCCTCCTGATCAGGGCAGTCCCGGAACGCTCTCGATGAGGCGCAGCTGCTTGCGAGCATCTCGAAGCCGGCGAAACAGCGAGAACCGATGAAAACGTCCGAACACCCTCCGAGAACCGGCAAGAGAAGAATCCTACCAGCCCTCCGGGCGAAGGTCTATAGGGAGTTTCGCCTTCAACCCCCCTTCTTCCCCTTCGGGGAGGGGTTTACCCTTCCCCCCTACCCCTTCCCCTGGACCTGGACGGGGCGCCCCGCGAGGTGTCAGAGGGTAGTTTTTCTCCCAAGATGGCTCCAAGAGGGCCTCAAAGAGCCCAAGATGACCTCCAAGATGGCCCAAGATAGATGCCTCAAGTCGGCTCACAAGATGCTCCAAGAGGCCCCAAGAACGCTCCAAGGACGGCTCCAAGACGCCTCCCAGACCTCCAAGAAGTCAAAATCCTTACAAAACCCGAAGTAAAATCAATACTTGTTGCTTTCTCGCCTTTTCGCTTCCGATGGCCATCCGAGGCCTCAAGATGGATCCAAGATGGCCCAAGAGGGCCCCAGGAGAGACCTAAGAGAGCCCCAAGACGGCTCCAAGAGCGGCCCAAGAGCGGCCCAAGAGCACCCCAAGAGGCGACTTTTGGGGCTCCCACGGGGGGGCGGGGGGGGGGGGGCGAATTAGGGAACCCCTCTTCTTTGATCGACTTCCTCCAAGATGGCCCCAAGAGCGCCCCTGAAGCTCCCAAGATCCCCCCAAGAGGGCACCAAGAGGCGCCCAGACGGCCCCAAGAGGCGTCCAGGAAGCCTCCAAGAAGCTCCCAAGAGACCCCCAAAAGGCCTCAAGAGAATTCCCGATGTACCCAAGACGCGCAAAGACGGTCCTGGGCTCGCCAAGATGTCCCTTCTCCTCCTCCTCCTCCTTCTCCTCCTCCTTGTGCACTGTATCTTCCGCCTTCCTCATCTTCGCCCTCCTCCTTCTCCTTCTCCTTCTCCTTCTCCTTCTCCTTCTCCTTCTCCTTCTCCTTCTCCTTCTCCTTCTCCTTCTCCTTCTCCTTCTCCTCCACCATCCTCCCCCTCGTGGCGTCTCGGACGGCTTCCCCCGCCCTCTGTTCTTCTGCATTGCTCCCCCACTTCCCTGATCACCTCAACTCCCCTGGGCATCGTTCCTGGATGGGCTGGTGGGGATACTTTTTTCCTCGCGGGCGCAAGCGGAAGCGCAGGCGCCGAGTTGAAAGGTCCGGGCCACGGGCCGATCTAATTGGCAACGCGCAAGCCGAGAAGCGCAGCGACCGAGCCCGAAATCAGAACCTACCGCTGGTGGGGCAGCAGGCCGAGGCTGAGCTGGCTGAGCTGACTGCAAACGGCCAGGGTAGCAGATGCAAACGTGCGGGTGAATTAGGTCCTGCACGCCAGGAGATGTCGTGACCTGTTCTGTATCTACAGACCAGACGTCGACCTAGCGAGGGCTGGTGGGGATACGCGAGGCGTGAACAACTCCTCCTCCGAGCCTCCGGCCATTCCAGCAGAGCGGCGCGCACCGACGCGGCCCGGATCAGCACGGCGCCGTGGCGGCGGCCACTCGGCGCCTCGGGCGCGGGCGCGGAGGCCCGGAGGGCCCGCGAGCAGCAGCCGCGCGCGGCCTCCTCCTCGCCCGCGGCGCCCCAGGCGATGCCGAGGTTGGCGAGGGTGAGGCACAGCTCCCCGTGGTCCGGGCCGAAGTGCCGCTCCTTGATGGCCAGGCTCTGATGGAGCAGCCGGAGCATCCTCTGCCGAGGCCGAGCCCCCACTCGGCCATCCAAGAGCGGGCCCCCACTCCCGACCGGGTGATCCAGGGGGTCCTGGCTGGGGGCGAGGGTGGTCATACTGGCCCCCCAAAGCCGCCCCCAGAGCACCCCCACCTCTAGCCAAGGACCCCTGGATCACCAGATCGGGAGTGGGGGTCCAGCCTGGGTGTGGGGGTGGGATGTGCCGTCCTCAGAGGTCACCACGGGGGGGCCGAACAGATAGGGGGTGAGAAACGGATGCATGGGTGGGTTCTATCTGGCCTAACCTAACATATGTAGCATGTGCCCTACGCGGTTCTTTGCAGGGTTAATCTGGTCGAAGTGGGCAGAGCCCACTTCGCGGAATGATCTAATCCTCCCGAACTATGAAGGGCACCCGTAACCACTCAGAAGCTGAATGAGGCCAGAGATAACCAATGTTGGCATCCGCTTCTGAGCCTCAAATCACCGAAGCACCCCGCGAGGCCATCCTAGTGTGTGAGGGAGGGAGCGATCAGAGAGCCAACCCACCCCGAGACCCGTGGGATGACAGCGAGAGAGGGTTCCTCCTCGGAGGCGAAGGGAAGCTCAGTGCCAACGCCTGGGCCGATGGAGCCGCGGGCCAAGCTTCGGGCTGCTCACAGACAGCCCCCGCAGGTGGTCCCGGCGGATCGCGCCGGGCCCCCGAGATCGGCCCAGGGCGGTCTCGGTGCCCTGGCGGCGCCCCTGGCGGCGCCCCCGGGGGGCGCCCCGCGCCCCCCGGGCTGGGGTGCTGCAACGGCCCGGGACTGCTCGGGGGGGTCTGTGGAGGCCGGCTGGTGCCTGGAGGGGGGCTGCCCGTGCGCGACCCGAAGCCTCACCGTCGCTGATGGCCGGGCTCTGTCGAGGCAGCAGGAGCATCCTCTGGGTGTCGCCGCCCTCCCCGCAGCTCATCGCCAGGTTGTTCAGCGTGATGGCCGTCTCCACGTGCCCGGCCCCGAAGTGCTGCTGCTCGATGGCCAGGGCGCGCTCCAGCAGCCTGCGGCCCCGCGGCGCGTCGCCCAGCTCGCCGTACGCCCCAGCCAAGTTCACCATTGCCGCGGTGGTCTCCACGCTGCCCCTGCCGTAGCGTCTCTCCTGGATCTCCATGCTGCGCTCGAGCAGCGCCAGCTCTCGCGGGAGGTCCCCCAGATCGCGGTACACCGTGGCCAGGTTGTTCAGGGTGACGGCCGTGTTGATGTGGTCGGCGCCAAAGTGCCTCTCCTTGATCTCCAGGCTCGTCTCCAGGAGGTCCTTCTGCACCTGCACGTTCCCCAGCTTCCCGTGGGCGCTGGCGAGCTCGGCGAGGATCGCCGCGGTCGCCACGTGCCCGCGGCCCCAGTGCGCCTCGGAGATGGCCAGCGCCGTCTCCAGCAGCTCCCTGCACCTGGCCGCGTCCCCGAGCTGGGCGTGCGCCTGCGCCAGGTAGCAGACGGAGTGGGCGACCTGACTACCAGCCTGGCACATATCTCTCTCTATCCCTGTGCTGGGCACCTCCTCGTCACGACGCCAATCTTAGGGATTCCCTTATTTCTGGAGGGCGAACCCCTAAGATTGTCATCGCCTCTTGGCGTGTCCATCTTGGGGCTAGGGATACGCTCGAGGCCGGCAACCTGTGGAGCTTGCGGGCCGTGCTCCTCCTCCACGCGGCCCCGGGAGAGGGCCGCCAGCTCGCGCAGCGCGCGGCCCTCGTAGCACCGGCCGCAGGTGGGGCAGGCGAAGTTGTGCCAGTCCTGTGCAGTTGGGGCGTTGACCTAAGGAACCCTAAAGAAGGAACGGGGCCCCTTTTCCCCATAAGTGAAACCCCGGTTTTCCATGGAAAGCTGTAGGAAAACCCTGTAAAACAACTAGGGAACACGGAGCCCCTCCCAATCGAAAAGGGTTCCTTCTTCAACGCCCCGACTGTAGGGTGGCAGCAGGCGGCCCTCTTGCGTCGGCGCCGGCCCATTTCCTACCAATGTAGGCGGCGGACAGGCGCGTTCGATGGTGTCCGAGGGAGGGAGGGAGGGAGGGAGGGAGACAGGGAGGGGGAGGAGGAGGAGGAGGAGGGGGAGGAGGAGGAGGAGGAGGAGGAGGAGGAGGAAGAAGAGCTCCGCGCGGAGCTCCGAGCGCTCTGCCTGTGCAGCGCCCCCCGTGACAGCGTCGAAGCGGTCGCGACAGGAGCCGTGGACCCCGTCGTTCTGCGGAGTTCTTCGAGCCGGTCGATCCCTGAGGGTTTGGGGGCCCGAACAAAAAAAGCAAGATCGCCGGCTGTGGACCAGAGGATGTTGCCTTATTCAGTCTCTTGCTCGTCGTTTTCTTCTCGGCAGTCCCCCTGCGCCAGGAAGTGCCGGACCTGGGGGGGCCAAAAGGCTCCGATGCCGCCACTCCCCAGACCTGCACGCCGACCAGAACTTCGACGAGAATCCGGCCGCGGCGGCGCAAAGGACCTCCAGGACGAGCAGCGGTGTCGGTCACCTCCTCCTCCTCCGCAGGGGACCCAGACCCCCGACGTCATGATTTTTTCATGACGTCGACCCCCAGAGGTTTGGACCCATTCCCCAGGACCGGTTTTTCATCCTGAGTCGTTTTTTGACGGTCCCGAGGCCCGGTAGGGGCCCCCCAAGCCGCAAATATGGAAAAACCTCCCGCCGTGATTTTTTCCTGACTCGAGGGGGTCTGGGGACCAGGCACGCCAGGTGCACGAGCCCGCCCGTGCCCCGGCAGAGGCACGGCCGCAGCAGGTCGGCGCCGCCCTCCTCGAGGCAGAAGCGGCACGCGGGCGGCGGGCCCGCGCCCGCCGCGGCGCCGGCCGAGGCCGGCAGCGCCATCTGGCGCCCCTGCGCCCCGCGGGCGCGCGCGACGGCCACGGGGCGCCGAGGCCGCGCCCCGCGGGGGCATGTCGCTGGGGAGAGGCGCGGCAGACCCAGACCCCCTCGAGTCATGCAAAAATCACGACGGGAGGTTTTTTGCCATGTTCGGCTTCTGGGGGCCCCTACCGGGCCTCGGGGCTGTCAAAAAACGACGCAGGATGAACAACCGGTCTCGGGGAATGGGTCCAAACCGCTGGGGGTCGACGTCATGAAAAAATCATGACGTCGGGGGTCTGGGGAGGGGCCACGCTTGCCCAGGTCATCGGATGCCACGGTCGCGACCAGTCGCGACCGATCGCGACCGATCGGTCACGACCGGTCGAGCGCAGCCTGTTTTTTGAAGCAGATCGGCCGAGACGGAGAATGGGACTTGAAGCAGAGTCGGGAGCGACCGATCTCGTCGGTCGCGAGAAGAGGACTCTGACATCCAACGATCAGGGAAGGGGCCTCGCTTGGGCCTCGGTCCGCCATGGCTGCGGGGCGGTCGTGGAAGTGGCAATGGCAGGGCTGGCGGCAGTGGCACCCTGATATCACAGACTCGCGTCGATGAGAAAGAACAAAAACGGTGGAGGAGGGGTTTGGGATATTTTCGTCATCTGGGGGCCTTACCAGGCCCCAGGACTGTCGAAAAACTACTCAGGATGAGAAACCTGTCCCCGGGAATGGGTCCAGACCTCTGGGGAGACACATTGTGAACAAATCACGACACTGGATGTGTGGGTGCAGTGGCAGCGGTGGTGGTCGTCGTAGTGGCACTGTTAATCGCAGCGGGAACGGCAGTGGCAGCGGCAGCGGTGGCAGTACCGGTGGCGGTAGCAGTGCAAAGCTAGCGGTGGCGATCGTCAGCATGAGACACACACACGCACAACAACAACAACAACAACAACAACAACAACAACAACAACAACCACAACAACAACAACAACAACAACAATAATCAGCAACAGGAACAACAACAACCTCAACAGCAACAGCAACAGCAACAGCATCAGCAACAGGAACAACAACAACAACAATTACTAGCACGTGGGGACACTCCGTTCTCACCAGTGCCAGGGTTTTCATAGGAGGCGGGCAATACCCCCACTTTGTGGGGGGGCCGGTTCAAGCTCTACCAAATTTCCAAACGACTCTTCGCCACCACCCACACCCAGCTTCCCGCCCTATGACGTTCGGACACTTCACTTCGTGGCATGCGGACGACCGTGGCTACTATTCAGGGCCCCGCGGCCGACGACGACGGCGTGCGCGCGCGAAGAAAAAACGAATGTGTCCCGCATGGTATTATTTGACAGGGATGATGGCCCTGGCAGGTGCGCAACCGTTGTTGCAGAAGTTTGAAAAAGTTGCTCGCAAAAACCCGTTTGACAGAAATGTTGAAAAAGTGTTGGGTTTCCTACGAATCCGCAAGAGCGCGCGGGATGAAATGTTGACAATTTTTGTTTGAAAAACCATTTTTTTTTTGATGTTTTTATGTTAAAATCGTTACGAAAACAAAGGTTTTGGAAGGATTTCGTCTTGCGCGTGCGAATGTCCACTTTACCTTATTTTTTGCAAGGGATTATTGAAGTTTGGTTATGTTAGAACAAGAAATGTCCACTTTAGCTATTTTTTTGCAAGGGAAAACCGCCCGTAACAAAACAACCGGATCCGGACCAACCCGTTTTGCCGGAGACTTCCTCACGAAAACGATGAAAACGTGGCTGCGGCGTAGGCGCGGCGGGGGGGTCGTGCACCAGGGGTCCCAACAATAATTATTCTTTAGAAGTAATAATGTTCAACAACAACAACAACAACAACAACAACAATCACTTGACCCTCATGCGCGATGTTTCCACACGAAGCAGCGGGGTCCATCATTCCCATTCCCAATTCTCCCGCCCAATGAGGTCTTGCAAACACCTCCTCCGAGGAATTTCAACATATCCCGCCACGAAAACGCATGCCCGCGCATTGCTGGGCCGATGCGAGACCGCCAGTTGAGCCCCAGCCAATGGTAAAGCACAAGGAAGTATCGAGCGACAGGATTGCCTTGGTGGGGATGGGGGCTGTCGGCGGCGAGGCAAGGACCTGGCCCTGAATAGAAAGGGAGGAAAGTCTCGAGCCAGGCCGCTGTTGTTGCTGGGAGCGGCGCCAATGCTGAAGAAAGTAGGGCGCTAGTCCAGCGTAAAACGAAACGAAGTCTCGAGCGTCAACGCTGGTTTGTTGGGATTGCGATTGTCGACGGCGAGGAGGAACACCGCTTTGAGTAAGAAGGGAGGAAATCTCGAGCGGGAGCCGTAGTTTTGTCGGGACGGGGGCTGTCGGCGGCGAGGAACAGCACCGTCCTGGGGGAAAAAAAAAGAGGAAGCCTCGGGCGGGAGCGTTGTTCTGCCTGGGAGCGGCGCCAATTCAAAAGAGAGTAGGGCGTCAGTCCAACGTAAAACGAGAGGAAGTCTCGGGTGGGAGCGCTGGTTTTGTCGGGGGCGGCGGTTTCCAGCGGCGAAGAGGAGCACATCCTTGAATAAAAAAAGAAGACGTCTCGAGCGGGAGCGTTGTTGTTGCTGGGGGCGGCGCCGATGAGAGAAAGAGTAGCGCGCCAGTCCAAGATAAAACCGGAGAAAGTCTCGAGCGGTAACGCTGGTTTTGTCGGGACGGCGGCTTTCAGCGGCGATCAGGAGCACCGGCCATGAGTAACAAAGGAAGAAAGTCTCGAGCGGGAGCGTTGTTGTTGTTGATGTTGTTGTTGTCGTTGTTGCTGTTGTTGTTGTTGTTGTTGTTGTTGTTGTTGTTGTTGTTGTTGGGGGGCCCGTCTTGGCGCCACCCCAAACCGCTCGAGCGTGAGCCTCATTTTCAATGAAAATGTAGCCGGCGCCGAGGCGAGGGCGCCAAAGCGCCTGGGGGAGTCCAACAATAAGAACTGCTTAGTCATTAACATTCAACAGCATCAAGAATAATTAACAACAACAACAACAACAACAACAACAACAACAACAACAACAACAACAACAACCACAACAACAAAAACAACAAACAAAAACAACAAACACAACAACGACGACGGCGACGAAAAATCTGGGCGACCCCCAGCGCAACGCGGCCGGGCATGCTCGGTGGGCGAGCTCCAACGGCCACGCAGGCCTGCGCGCGTCTGGCACACGCTTGCCCGTCACTCTGACCATGACAGAGCAGGCGGCCCCAGCTTGTACATGCCTTCCGTTGCCCGTTCGGACTGCTTGCTGGCAGCGCTGGTGGACGCAAGCGCGACTGCAGAGCCGACGGGACGTGCGGGGCACCGGGCGCCCTCGAGCGGGCGGAAAAAAGCGCAGGCGGCCGCGGAGGCGGGGACGAAAGGCCCGTTCAAGCACGCCGGGGTTGCACTCGGGGCCGCGATGCCAGCGCGCACGCTCAGCTAGAGCACAGCTGCGCCGAGACGGCAGCCGCGCGAAATGCTGTGCACGGCTGCTTCAGCGCAGCATGTCATCGCCTACACTCCGGACGGCCGTATCGGGAGGGAGTCGCACATCCAATACCAAATGCCCTCGCTCCGCTGCCCGTGGGTAGCCAACCGGCTACTCAAGCATCGGGCTGGGCCGTGGCCTTTGCATGCGGCGAGGCGACAGCAGGGGACGAAAACGAAGCAGCTCTCACCCCTCCCCCCCCCCCCCCGGCCGCTCGAAGAACATGGATCTCACACTGCCACGCGCCTCGAAGACGAGGGCGAAAACACCGAGACTGGAGCCAGAGCGGCGTCGCCCAAGATAAGGAACCGAACTCTATACACCGACGCCTTTGTCTGGCCTCGCACTGCAGCTCGCACAGGAAAGCGGATCCTGGTGTATACGGGATCCTGGTGTATACAGTATTCCTTGTTTCCCCGGGACAACGGGGAACACATCTACACCACACCACCCCGACGTCGTCCCCGACCCTCAAATATTATCCCAGTGCGACCCTACCTAGGAGTTGGAGGATCTAGGAAAGCAACATCTATATGAAGCTAAGTTAAGCTAAGATGAAGCTAAGCTAAAATGAAATAAGCTAAGCTAAGATGAGATAAACAACGCTAAGCTAAGGAGACGTAGCTGGGGGAACCGCGGGGCGGACACTGGGGGAACCGCCCGGGGCGAGTTGCACTGCCCGGCCCTTTAAGCATACCGAGTGAGAACCATTCTAGGCAGAGCCTAGGTAGGGACAAACCCTGGGACTGACAAACCACCCGCCACTGGTAATGTATGTGCTCCAGTTTCCGACAAGACGGCGCGCGTGCGGCCGCTCGCACGAGCGCGCGCGCGGGCCCGGCCGCCGCCTGCAGGAGCCGCCGGCAGGCGGCGGGGCAGGCACGGAGGGCTCCCAAAAGGGCCGGCACGCAGCCTCGGGAGGTCTCGCGAGGCGAGGGCCAGGAACCACGGAGCACAGAAGGGCTGGGAAGGTCGGCCGAACAGGATGCGTCCAGAAAACCCGCCCACGATCTCCATCTGTTATTCCATGCCCCCAAGACAGCCAAGTGTCCGTCGGATTATTCGCCAGCTTCTGCGATCGCACGCGCGGTCTTGATGCCAGCCCCGGTGGCGCACGGAACGGCGAAAAAAGACGACAAGAAAATCCACGATGTTTCAATCGGAATTGGGCGGTTGCCTCAGGCGCTCAAACCTCGGAGACTCAGAGACTTCAACTGACCAGAAAAACGAGCGCCACGCCGCCGCCGTCACAATGCGACGTCCGGCCACAACAGCCTCCCACCAACACCATGACCATCAGCCATCAGCCATCCATGGTTACCGCTCTCATTATCAGCACGAGCAGCCCTCGTTACGAAGCCAGCTTGGCTCAAACTGCCTTCGCCGGAACTGCTCGGGGTCTGTTGCAGCGCGACGCGTCCGCGTCAGTCCAGGCGCGCCGAACACCCCGAACACTCCAGAACCCAAGGGTGCCCAATGTCCTAGGGGCGTTGCCGTTATGCCTCGTATGGTCGTTTTGCGTGCGAT